GTTTAACTTTAACAAAATTATGTTATTTTTCGCCTCTATTTGTTTTTAATTAATAACTTCAGAATACCCATAAAAGTACCTGACTTTTCACGAAGAATATAAATTAAAACAACATTGTAATACAAATCTATCAGTTCAATATATGGAGATGTTTAGAAAAAAAGTTGATGTGGTGCACACAACAACATCTATGTCATATTCATAACAAAAACACCAATCATTTCTTTTAGAGCTTTGAAACAGCAACTAAGCTCAACTCATATTTTAACCTTTATATGTTTAACTAGTAACTTTAGAATTCACATAAAAGTACCTGTTTCTTCACGGAGACGTTTTATATGTGTAAAAGCCTCTTCTACAGCTGTTATTAATCTGGCTTTTCTCTTTTTCACTCGTCTTTCGTATTCGCATTCTTCATAAAATCGCTCATTATGACTAGTCCCTCGTCGTCTACCATAGCCAGATGGTAGGACTGACGAGTGGTCAGATTTAGTCATCCCGTCTATGTCAGAAAACTTTAACGAAGACTTTCCTTTGTAGGACTTTGTTGGTAAAGTGTCAAGGTAAGGGTTGTATGGAGAGAAATCTTGATAATATCTTTCTAGAACCCAGACTGCTGCACGTTGTATACTCAATTGGCCCATGCTATAACAGTGGCTCTCTCCATCTGGTGAACGAACCACTTTCACAAAGTACTGAGGCTGAAGATGGCGGATTTCGATCAAAATAACAGCTAGGTAATGTATAAAAAGTAAGGCGTCAACTAACGACACCGCGAAGAGAACTATACTGTGATAGGATACTTCATGCTCATTCTTCTGCTTTTCGACGATACGTACGCTATAGAATAACCAATACGAAAAAGTAAAAACTACAATTAATACCAAAACGAGGGCACGGAAAATAAATATTCTTGGCATGGTTGCTTTGGGGCGACGGAAGAAAACAGCCCATGTACCACAAAGTAAAATTACCAATTTAAATGCAAAGCTAATAAGTAGTCCATCGCATTCAGGACCACATTTTTGCACCTTCCACTCAAGGACATCAAGTTTAGGCAACACAACCATAACCAATGGAGAAAGAAATGCAAATATAGACAATATTGTTGCAACAAATGAGCCCATCCACATTTGGCACTTAAAGATCCAGCTTTCGTCCGAATCTCTTCCCAACCTATATAAGTTTTCCATGGATATAGAGTGGTCACTACTATTACCCGTAATAGCAGTAGTATTGTCCCCCCAGTTCTGATCCTGAGGTAAAATCTGTACTTCAATGACATCGTCACAGCTACGGGTTTGGCCCATTCTATCCGATGTTTTGTTTCCAGAGATAACAGGAACCGAATGATCAGTCGTTTTAGAACGATGAGAATGACGTAGACGTGACCGGTGATTAGAGTTATTGAAAGACGCCACCCTATGACCTTGTGAACAGAGAAAACGCGTGGAGTAGACACTGTGTCTAGATTTGACAGACTCATTTTCGGTGGTCACTCGGTAAGTCTGAAGCTGTATACCGCTTCCGACAAAATTGTCTCCTGGCCAAAATGACATGAGCTTGATTGTTACCACGAAGGCAGGCTGAGTTCCTTTAAATAATGCAGCATTTGAGGAAGGGAAATAAAAACTTGCACTAAATAAAAGAGGAAAAAAAAACTCATTAGATGGTTTATTTGCTAATAGAACTCACAATCATCTAGATGATTAAATACACTCACCTGATCTTTTTCACAAATACAATTTATTTTATCACAGCCATGTCTTAGCTGTTTGTTAAATTAAAAAGCTTTGGTTATTTAAAGTTTGTTAAATAGAACAATTCGACCATTAATCGTTTTATACTCAAAAATAGGGAATATGGTTTTAAAAACATCAAAGTTAAATCTTAAATTCTATATTGAACTGTTTTTTTTATTTTTGTTTGTCTGATTTATGTGTAAAAATTAACAGAATAAATGCGTAAAATAAAATCAATTTACAAGTGTTTTTCTCATATTTCAAAGGCAATAAAGGCTAATCAATGTAAAGGAACTGCAAATGAATTTTAATGCACAAAAGGGTACATCTTATTTGATTTTAACAAATTTCATTGAGCATTTTCAGTCATAAGAAAATAAATCATTTTTAATACACAAACTTTGTTTAAAAATTCACAGGTTGCAGACTAGGAAATAATATTTCGAAAGTTTTCACATTAGTTATGAAGGCCCCCCCCCCTCCTTACCCGATGGGGTTTACAGCGTTAAAATATGGGATTCGGTTCCCTGCTGTGGATACGGCAAATATTCCAATGTAATTTTGCTAAAAAAAAAAACACTTGTAAAAATATAGCAAAGTAATATGCTTCTTTGAAACCTATTCTGTTAAACCTTGTGTAAAAAGATAAAAGATAAATGATATAACAATGGAACCTAGTCGAATGTTTTATTGTTATGTGATAATATAATCTATTCGAAAAACTGTCCTTGAGAAAAGTTTCTTAGATATACTTTCATATAACTATTGTAACAAACTAAAAGAATAGTCATTTGACAAAAACGATTGTTTATTGTTTTTTTTTTATTTCCTACTAGCTGGAGTATTCGTACCCTGGACGGAAGTTGTGTAAATTTATTATTAATAAAAGGTTATCGTAGGACATGAAAAGATGCTTCCCTTATATGTAATTATAAAAAAACGCAAAACTCCCATAAAACTGCAAAACGCAAAACTGAAAATTGGCATGTACCCCCAGATGGACTTATTGAACCTCCATACCAATTTTGGTGAAGATCCATTTACACCTTGCGCAGTAGTTACAATGACATACAACAGACAGTATTATTATATTTATATAGATTATATAATTTCAATATAAAATATGCATAAATGGTATAGACCTCTATCTGTTTGTTTTAGCGCAAAGCTATACAACGGGTTATGCATGTCCTGTTCACCACGTGAAATCGCGCCCCGATTTTAAATTTAGAACTGTTTCACTGGGGTTAAATTTGATTAAATGAGGAAAATTTTGTATTTTTTTAAAGTCACAACAAATCCAGTAGTCAACACCGACAACATTGTCGATGATGTCATTACATGTTTAGCATCTAATATTTATCTTACCTTTCTGCGGTGACAAAATGTAAATAAAATTATGACTATACATAGATCGTACTTTAACTGGAAATTGTATTAAAATATCCAAATCTATCTGCTGAAATATGTTCCAAAAATACTTGATCATACTTTGCAAAATAAAGTTACAACTCAAAGTTTGTTTATGTAAACAGTAATTTATAAATATAATGTAAAAATATTATCCAAAAATAACTAGTCGCGTTTCTTTCTCAATACCTCTCGCTGGCTCAGCGATGAGTCTAAAAATCAAGTTTCGATACCCACTTTGATAGCTTTGTGTATTTAATAGCAAACAAATCTTTTTCCATATCCAATATTTATAAAACAAACATTTAACTTTCTCAGATACTGATTTTCGGTCAACTACTGCATAAAAGAAAAGTAACTAAATGCTAGTGCCTTTAAACAAATTGTTGACAATAACAAAAGGATGTTGTCTGACATTTAAACAATAGTGAGTACATATATTTTTTACAGAAATATCATATTACAAAAAGCAGAATTAAATGTTATCACTATATCAGTTTCATTTGATATGAGAAAGTTTAGATAAATAAAGTGATATCTGTTATATATATAAATGCATAGAATTCTCTTAATGTCCATTTTATCAGGGCCAATCCATTTGTTTTAGAATAATGTTTTTAGTTTTATGTGCAAAATACATTGATCTAGTAATATTTCAGCTGTATAAGCTCTATAAATGCAGAGATATAGTAAGAACAAAGACCTCTATGATTGTAAAAGGACAGAAATAGACGGTGCCTGTCTGACAGGAGCGTCTTTAGAAAATAACTTTCTTTGGGACGTGTTCCAAGACATGTGACAGATGAATAAAAATGACTAGGCTTTATGGTGCAACAAATGATAATCGGTAACCCAGCTATTCGATTCCTTTAACAATATCTTGCGAAGAACATTGCAAATCTATGATGTGGTTGCCGACAACCAGAACGAAATCCACTTATCTCAAAAACAGACAGAAAAATACAACTTTATTGGTGTTTAAAGTGCGTAATTAATCACTCTATAACTATGATAAGTCTTAATGAGTCATGTTTCACTTTTTTCTGTGCTAATAGTAGTTTAAACATATGGGAGAAAAAAACGTAAGAGGGTTTGATCCTTTGTGTTTCTAAAATGGAGGTGCCTAAATAGTGTCTTGAGGATCACTATGGTAGGGATTGGATACTTTGACTCATTTGGAAAAGTAAATAGCATATAGAGGTTACCTGGACGTTATTGCACACCCCATGATGCTATATTTTCAACCTGACAGACAATAACTTTTCTATAAGGATAACTAAACATTTCATGGCACTCATTTTGTTAGAAATTGGTTTTAAAAGAGTACGAAAATGATTTTATTATTCATCTTTCCTTGTCATCATAATCATTAATTCTCAATCGATTAAAGACATATGAGGTCAAATTGAACATCACTTGTGACACCGTAATCCTCTTCCGACATATTTGAAATAAAAACAGATCATACACCTCAACATTTTTCATCATGCATTGGTATCTCGTCACAACATCTTGGCTAGTACCGCTTTGAAATGTATCCCAACTGAATATTAGGTGAGAGTTTCTAAGAGAATGGTTATTTTTCATATAGACTTATGTTATTTTGTCTGGAAAATATTATCAACTATAATTGGCTCTAAGGTATTTTAGTTGAACCTATGCATGTTTAATGAAACTATCCCAGTTTTGAGTGACATTTTGACATGGATTACCTTCATGTGACCTAATATGGATGGCATATTTGATCTTTTGTTGGGTGTCGTTACCTGTATCTCTTTTTTCCTGCACAATGCAACTCGTTTCCCATAGGAGACAATAGTCATGCTCCCAGACATTATAATTTGCCTGTAGCAGCTTATTTGACAACTTGTTCTTCTACAGGTCCTATGATTTCACCTGCATTAAGTTAGCTATTTCACTACGTCCTTCCAAATCGATTTCTCGTTTAGTACCATTAATATTGTAAGGTTTTCTCCAGAGTAGACCTAACTTGAAAAGCTAATTTGAAATCAAACTTTTTATAATATGTCTTAAGTTGTTTTATTTTTCATTATTAAGATATCATATTTCTTCACGTTCCTGTTGTTAAGTGTTTTTTGATTCAGTTGAACGTTTCTTCAGAGACTTACGTTTGATTTATTTTTCTTTTGTAGCAGTCATTAGAAATACGTTTGTGCTAACATGTTAATGCTGGTATCAATAATAAGCCTAATTTACGATTAAACTTTAAATATATGTTATAAAAAGACATATATCGTAAAGATAATTTTTAACTTTTGTCGTGGCATAGGCTCGTTGCTAATGTGGCACAATATTAGTTTTTAATGGTATACTTATTGTAAATTCATTCTGGTATCTATAGTAAGCAATTTTCAGTAATTTTTCAAATAAAGTATTGAAATATGCTTCAAAGTACTTTTTTTTACTCCATTTGTTAAGTATTACAATTTCAAATGGTCTGAAACCGAGCCAAATGATAATTTAAATTTAGTATGAAATGCTGATATATTTACAATTTATGATATTTGCCAACAAGATTGCTGCACACAGTTTCTCTTTTTAATACAAATATGTTTTAATGTACAAACAACATTGCAATTTACAATAATAGTTATTACAAATATTTATTATGAACAATGATTTATGTACAAAAGTTTTACAAACTTACAAGCAATATAAAGTCTTCTTTCTAGTCTAGAACTTCCTTGATGTTTTATCGAGGGTTCATGATGAGCGAGTTAATTTCGAGTTGACGTAGGTATAATTCACTTAATAGGGAGCTAGCTACTTCGGTGGTCTTCAGTGATCACACGCCGATTTTTCCTACCGGTGACGTTAGGTTATGTTTTCGTAAAAGTACTAATGTCCGATGTGAATCCACTGAAGTTGAATAACTTGAAATGTTCGAAATTTATAAACGTTTCTGGTCAATATATCTGAAGTTTCCCGATTAATAATCGTTATAACAATCATAGTTATAGTTTCCGAAGTTTATAGTATGCCAACTATAGCAAATCAATAATAGATACCGTTTTTTGG